TAATTAAATTAAATCAATTGTTCTTTACCAATCCTGCAAATTTCTACTACACCATCTCAGGTTGTTAACGGCCTTTTCCCGCATCTAAAATTATTACTGCTATATTCTGTTTCTTATTATTCTTAATTATTTTCTTGTATATTTTCAAAGAATATACTTCTTTGAAAAATTCTGCAGCTTCTATTATTTCTGATTATTATTTTTATTTATTTCCCACCATTATTATTTTTTATAAATAATTCAAGGTCACGAAGACACGCAATACTCTTTCCTCCCCTATTTTGTGAGATGGTTGAGAGAGAGTGACTGGCCAAAACATGTAAAATATGTATGTAGCAATTTATTCCCTTTCTTTTTCTGTTATCGTCTTTCTCTCTTTTTTCTGAGTTGCTATACCAAAGGTTTTCTTAGTTTGTTTGCCTTTTTCAAAATAATTTTGACATTTTTATTTTCTTTTGAAAATTTTCCATATCCAATGAATCTAAATGTTATAATTGTTATTTGATTTTGTTTAACTTCCTCAGCTTGTCTTCTTGGAGTGGTTTTGTGGATTTGTCATAATTCTTTTATTTTTTCCCCAGTTGTGATTTCTATCCATTTTCACATAAAGAAGCTTCTGTTATTGTCCCTAGTAGTTATTTCTTTTGTCATCAAAAGTCTTACAACGCTAACTGAATTCTCCATGTATATTTAATGTTTAATGTTCTTGGTACTTAGTTCTTTTGCAAGAAATGTGAATTATTTCCTTTTTTTAACATTATAGGGAAAATATTTTCAAATATTTGCATTTTCTTCCCTTCTACAGTTGATTGTGTCTCAGTCTGCTGCTTTAGAATAGCATCTCTCATTCTCTTGTGCAAAAACCTTAGGAGGATATCCCATGACACTTTTTCTCTTTGTGCAAATGTTAAATTTATTCTGAAAATTTATTTAATATATAAAAAGTCTTTGTTCTTGCTAAATCTTTAATATTTCTACTGTTTTTTCCTGTTTTTTTGGCCCTTTCACTCATGGGCCTTCAATTCTCTTTTTTGTCCCTTGACATTGTTTTTTCCCCTCTTCTTGCAAATGGTAAAAATACTTTCCATGGGCAATATTTTCTTGTTCTACCACTGTAACCAGCCATTGCTACTTTCTAATTATCCCATTTTATAATCAATTATGAATCTTTGCCTCTTGTAATACTTCTGTTGTTACCTTCTTACCACATTCTCAATCTTCAACCCTCTTTATTAACTTCTTTCTGTGACCAACGAATAAGTTCAAAAAAAATGTTTATTCCTTTTTATCTTCTGTCAGTGCACTATTCCATCAATTTCTGCAAGTTTATCTAAAAGTTATCTTTGTGTGTAAATTCATGATCAACATCAAGAATATATGTAATTTATAAATCCATTTAATCTTTAAATTGGAATGCGTCAATTTAATAAATGTTCTTTGAAGCCATCTAGTGAAACTTCTTGTATTTTGCAATAGAAAAAATGAGTTGAAATGTGATTCAAGGTCAGCTTTCACCCAAATAGTTTCCCCCACTGTAGTTACAATTCTTTATGTACTTACAGTAGTTGTTAGTTAAAACCTACACTTGTTCCATTAAGATGTTAGTAATTCAAGTACAGATCTTAACTCAGATCTAACCGCTATATAAGATCAACAGAATTACTGCAGTACTGCAGTCACATCCTTTCTCCCTTTCTTCTCTTCCTCCTCAGCTCAGGAGTCATTTGGAAAGTGGTTAAAATTATAATTATAAAATCCAATGTAGGAAACTAGTTGTAATTGTACAATCCAAAAAACTGGAACACTACAGAGAAATAATAATTTAATGGTTGGATCCTTAGTCAAATGTTTCTGTCAGGAGAAAAAACTAAGGGAAGTTAGCTATGGTTAGCTTTGAAAAACTGCATCTGTGTGGCTGTTAGATGGTAAAAATGTGGCTTTGACGAACATGTCCAAGTATCCCCAACCTTGTTTTCTTGAATTATCTTGTGGCTTAAATACTTAAATAATAATCCTTAAGTTGAATCTAAAAGGACCTGAACCTTGAAATTCCGTATTCCACCTTATAGCCAAAGCAAAAATGAATGACAAGGATAAGCCTTGAAATATAGAAAATTACATTAGGAAATGTAACTTATACAGTGAGAATCATAAAGAATGAAAGAATATGATTTAATAACTTCATACATTTATATTAAATAATATAAAGGAATAAAAATATGAAAATATTATAAAAATAAATCAGTGAAATTCAATATCTCGGGTATATTTATTTTGTTCCAGATATATATGAAGGAGTTATGAATTCTCAATCTAGATCATGTTTATTCATGATCACAATTGGAGTTAAATTTGTATTTATTAGTTGAGAATGCTTTCTAAGACTAATATCAAATGAAAGATATTATCTCCCTTGAGATTCTGCAACAATCTCTTGTACTTGTTTCAGAAATCTGTTGAAGGCCTATATCTAACTACAGGCCCTCTCTAGGTAAAAATTGAATGAATATATTTTTGTTTCTCCCCATTTTTATAAAACATCTTCATTTTTAGTATATATGTTGATTGAATTGTTTTTAGTGTGTATTTTTCATTTTACTCAGCTTCCCATATGTAAAAGCTGCAGAATTCCACTAATTTATAGTTCAAGTGATTGTATCAGTTAGAAATGCAATATTAATAGAACCTTGGTAGCCCCATGTAAATCCAGCTAAATATGTAAAGATGATTTAGTATTCATATTTATCAAAGAGTTAACTTTATATTTTCTACACAGAGTAGGATCCAATTTGAGATGAATCAGGATACGAATTCATTAAAAAATAGAGAGTAAGTGTCAGAAAAGGATTATAACACACTAGCTCTTGGAGGTAACAGCTTTCATCTCCAATTCTAGGTAGGTCATGTATGAAGGAAGTAATTTTAACAATATTCAAAGGAAATGAGGAATGGTAAAGTAGCGTAGGACTGGTGATCGAGATTTCTGTGGAAAATTGGCTTCATAAAACTCTCAAACATTTGCTAGAAGCAGCCGAACATTACTACTTCAGTTGAAATGCAGTTTTGAAAAATATATATAGGGGTTTGGTTTTATATTTCACGGTTGAGTAGGTTTTTGAGTGGATGCTTTTGGAGTGACCTTTGCAGTGTAGAATTATCTGCAGCTGACATAAGTGGATGTCATATCCACTTTTACAGACTATAAAATGGCTTGGAAAAAAACCTTGAAATAATCTTTTGTGCCTGACTTCTGGAAGTGAGACTATCTTTCTTCATGAATTGTGTTTACATCGCTGACTGTCTTTTAAAAAGTGGTAGTCAAAAAATAAAACAAAGAATTTTTTTGTTTTTTATAAAGACTGAAAAAATTTTTGAAATGACTATTAACTTACAAGTGAAATTTTCACTGGTTATAACTATCATTTTTCCTTAGCAAAGTGTTATTGTGAACATGCAATGGAAGGCTTGTGTTTTGATTTGCTCACTTCAGAACAAGAAGTTTTAAATGATACAAATACAAATATAAAGCTTTGCAAGATCAAGTATGCTATCGTAGGGAAATATAAATAATGACCGTGGAATGAATTCTACTAGAGATTTATCTTGAAAGAATGATAGCAAAAAGTTACTGTTTGAAGATTCATTTATTAATTCTTTCTATATCAATATTAGTTTTCAAAGCTCCATAAGGCTCATTTGAAGTTACTAACATAATACCTGTCTTCTCATGACATGCAGAGCTCCATAGATAATGTGTGTGTTGTTTATTCTTGGATATATCCTAAACACACTTGTAAATCTAATTTTTATAAAGAATGCAATGGTTCATATAAATACAAAAGAAAACTTCCCCAAAGGAGGGAAAGTTTGGGTTTGTTCTTACTATTTGGAAACATAAACTATTGGGGTGGGGGAAGTACTAAAAGCTTTATTAGAGGGGGGAAAAAATCAGTTGTCTCTAAATGTGGGGAAAAAGTGTACCATCCGGAGCCAAGAATGCATGTTTTAGTTCTTTGGTTCCCAAAATTAGAATTGTCTTAAAATCAGCACAGTTTCCTTAAGCCTACAAAAATGACAGAAGGAATGCTATTAAGATGTGCAGTGCTAACAAAGGTTCTGATGGGCTATGAGTTCTCTGACAAATTAAATAGGTTTCTAACCATCTTCCTTATAAAATAAAAAGTATCAGCTTGGGAAAGTCTACTGCATCCATTGATATCATGTTAAAAGCTATATAAATAAGTTAGTTTAGTTTAGACACTAGATGATAATATTCAGGAGAAAAATGTTGGTTTACTTCTAAAACTTGTAGCAGAAGAGACAAATACAGGTAGAAAAAGGCAACATTCCAGAATCACAGACTTTCTCATTGGTTTGGTTTATTAAAACAGGCCTTGATTATTGAAAATGTACACATATGTCTGTTCCTTATTTCATGAACTTCTCTTTCTTGGCACCATTTATTATCCATGTAAAAATCATGCTAAATTCAAAAATAACTTTTCCACCTACCCATTCACTTCTCATATTCATACAGTATTATATTAATCATATGAGGGCTGCTTGTAAGGCTTTCTGCAAGATGACTGTTCCATGTGGTAGTTGTAAAATGAGTGATGAATAATCCATTCTGTGTGAAGATCTCCTATTTTGATAAGAACTTTTTCTTGTATCATAATGGTTGGTCCTTGCAAGGAACTGTCCTTGTGGTGATCCTGTTCCAGATAGTTCCTAAAGTTTTTGTTGTAATTATTTAAATATAAATTAAATTGAATATGAATTTGAATACCTAATTATTTGAGATCAGTTTATTTCTAAAAACATAGCATTTCCTTATTTACCTAAGTACAACATCGCTCTCAGAAAATCTATATTGTGCATGGCATTTTCTATTGCAGCATGGAATACTACGATCAATATTGTATTTTTTGTGTTAATGGATGTGCTTTATCTCTCTTCATCAAGTAATGTCCTATTTTGTTTTTTTATGCTTTAAACAGGTTCTGCTTTATGTAGTTATGAGTTAAAGCCATCTGAATACACTACACATTTAAACGCTGCTAAGCTTTGCCCCAAGCTCCCAGTTCCAGAGAGGTAAACAAACTACTCAATGTCTTACTTTGTGACAAAACTCTGTGTATTGATGTATGTATTATTATGAAATTTAATCACCTGCTAATTTCTACAGACAATTCAGGATAGCACCATACGTCAGTTGTAAAGAATTCCCTCCAATTAGTACATAACGCAAAATATCCCATTCTATACATATATTTCAAATCTGGTATTTAAAAAGTATTGAAAAATGATGTTGATTTCCCTGTTATCATTTAGCCAGGAACTCAAAGAAATTTGGAGATACTAGGTTAAATATTCTGGGGTATCTTGAGTTGTGTTGAGTGCATGTGCATGAGATTACCCCCCCCTCAATCTTTTTTTTTGGGGGGGTCAGTTGTGATTTTATGGTTGTATTACATTCAGTGGCACTTGATTGCTTAGTTGGAAACTCTTCCTCCTCAACATGTCAATGAAGACTCAGTCATTCAGGCCAAAAGTATCAAAAAGGTTGAATCATGGCAACTGGACCAAAATTTGTTAAACTGAGATGTTTCACTTCCCATCCAGGAAGCTTCATCGGTCAAAATAAAAAAAAATTAGGCAGAGAGTCAGAGACATTTGCCATGTATTGGGATAGACTATGTGCAGATGCAAGTAGTGTGGTTTTTATAATTGACAGATGGAAATTTTGTGAATGCCCAGATTTTCTAAGTGCCATCCAAGATTTTTTGGCATGATACCAAGTGTGCTGACAACCACTGGAGCCACTATGGCTGATTTATGCCGTAATCTTTCAACTTTGATTTTCAGATCTTGATACTTCGTGATCTTATCCAACTTTTTTACTTTTATTTTGCCACATCTATTATCCACATGTTTTTCTTTTCAGTCATAGTTAAATCTGGTGCCTTTTGAGCCAAATATCAGTATTTTGGGGGGATATTTCACAATATTTTAACTTTTCTGTTTAATCTGCCTGATTTTATCCCTGGTAGGAAATACCATCTTAAATTCAGAGTTATTTTCTTAACCTGCAGAGGAAAAAATTTTTTTCACCATATTCCATGTCCTCAACTTACAATCACAATTGAGCCCAAAATTTCTGTTGTTAAGTGAGACATTTGTTAAGTGAATTTTGCCCCATTTTACTACCTTTCTTGCCTCAGTTGTTAAGGGAATCACTGCAGTTGTTCATTTAGTAACCCTGTCGTTAAGTGAATCTTGCTTCCCCAGTGTCTTTGCTTGTCAGAAGTCTCAAAAGGTGATGATCACATGATCTTGGGACGCAGCAACTGTCATAAATATGAACCAGTTTGCAAGCATCTGAATTTTGATCACATGATTATGGGGATGCTGGAAAGGTCATATGTGTGAAAAATGGTCATAAATCATTTTTTTCAATGCCGTTGAAACTTTGAATGGTCACTAAATGAACTGTTGTAAGTCGAGGACCATCTGTAACTCTTAAGACAGAATTTCCATTTTAAAGTTGGAAACAGAATAGAATAGAATAGAATAGCTTAACTGTCATTCGTTTAGTTAAACAAAATTAAGTGCTGTCCACAGTGCACACTACACACAAGTAAAAACCACAAATAAAAACATATTATATATATACATCCTTTACATTCTATTCACCATTGCACTGCCCCTAATATTGCACTTCAATGTTGCACTATACAGTAGTATTTAATATGGTTACAGCTCTGGGATAAAAAACTATTTTTCAGCCTATTTGTATTTGTTTTTATTGTCCTATACTGTCTGCCAGATGGTAATAGTTCAAAAAAAAGAATCTCCGGGATGAGATGAGTCTTTAAGAATGTTTTGAGCTTTCCTAAGACAGCGGGAACTGTACAGTTTGTCCGGAGGGAAGAAGGCAAGGGCAGCCAATAATCTCCTGGGCGATGGTAATAACCCTCTGGAATTATTTGAGAGGAAAAGAGTTTCTCTTTTTTAAAGGGAATATGTACAGTATATGAATATCATCTTAGCGTTTTTAATCAGGAGCTCTGCTTGGCAAAGCCAATATACCTTTTTGACTGAGTTTCCCTGAAATGTGAAGTGGGAACAGAAACATTTCTGTCATTTGTCAATTTTTCATTTAACTAGACTAAAAACATTGATATTTATGTTTTTTCTTTCCATGCCAGAACTGTATAGCAATTCTGCCTTTTTTGAAGCTTATATTTAATACTGATAATGGTTTCTCTCTGTTGGAAGAGCTGTCCCCTCATTACACATTTTAGTATTGCTCTTTCCTTTCTTTATTTATCAACATTATTAAACAAAGGATATAATCAGTAGTCATTAATAAAATAACAGGGTCATTCTGAATACATTTATTATTCTGCTTACCATTAAAGGAAAGAGCTGTGCTTTTTACACCTACCAAAGCCAATACTATTATAATAAAAATTGATCTTTTGTAATACATTCTCTGGGGTCTCATTTATTCTAAGATATCATGTAGTACACACTGACCTATTTTTTTTAATTCAGTATAGAATTTGTCTTCCATGTATAAAACTAGATAATTTCAGAAGTGCTAGATAATCACACTGTCTAGCAAAAGGCATTTCAGGGCAATACTTAATTGTGTATAAATGAAGGAAAGGGAGTTGTAAATTTATTAAGTTTTTCCAGGTTATAAAAGATGTCTTTTTGTGGAGAGAAAGGATTGTTTTGATAAAAATCTAAATAACCATAAAGGTAAAGTCCAGAGCCAGTCTTAGTCTTTTTTCTGTTCAAACAATGAACAAACTTCTCAGTGATACAGAGCTGAATATTTTAAAATGAAAGAAGATGCAAAGGAGAGCAGAACATATCATGAAGTAGTTAGCTTTTAAACAGTTAGCTGTTTAAAAAAAACTACATCCAAAATTCCACGAGTCTAGCACCAGTCTAATGATTTTGATTTCTTATCAACTAATGTAAACTTTAATTATTCTGTTACAAACATACATGTTGATTTGAAAATTATTCCCCAAAGCTGGTACATTAATAAAAGAAAAGTGTTGGCCCGTAACTTTGGGCCAATCATGCTGTTTGTTTCATTCTTGGTGTAAGATTAGAAATTGCTGTTTCTCTGTGTTTAATCCAGTATCTTCATGTTAATGTTAAAATTTTAAAAGACCAATATTTGAGAGCTTTATTCACATTATTTAAGTATGTGTGATTATAAAATAGTTTTTAATACTTTGCTTTCTGCTACAGTGTTTCTATATGGGAGAAGTATTACAAATTTACTCTCAATAGCATTTCCATTTAATTGGGTTAAAGAAGAATCCTAAAGCTGTTTTGGTGCCTGATATCTGAATCAGTTAGAAGCCATAATTTCATTAGGAATGCATTTACTTATTCATTTTTCCTTTTGTATCAACAAGTTATTAATTTATACTTTGTTAATTATTTGTATACACCAAAAGCTTAACATTTCTTAGATGTGGTGCCAAGAGTTCTAAAAAAAAAGACTTTCTGCTCATGGGACTTAATTTAATTTATATATTCTACTGTTGTTCTTTGTAACACTGTAATTGGATATTTCATTTGTTTGATTTTGTAGTGAAAACCACATTATCATATTTATGCATATTAGTTGGTTGATTTTTGTTTGATTATCAGTGCAGAAAAGATGGAGAGGGAAATTCTGGCCCTCATTTCTAAAAGCTGTGCTGTAATATCATTCTTAACACAGTTCACTTCTTCCTCAGTAAGAGTCATGGGGAATGGTAGCCAAATGGTGGTGGAGACAGAGAAGCCAAAAAGAACCCAGTTGATTGATTTAGGGGAGTGAACACACTGCCCCCATCTCTTTCTCAGTTGAAGCCATTCCACTGTGCTACTATCCTCATCTTTTCTCCAATATTATGTAAAAGCTGGATTATTCAAGTTGGAGTTAGGATACTGACTGCTTAAACCAGTATTTCCTTCTGATCCGTACATCTTGAAAAGGTAACTGACAAAAGTGCTAAAGTGCTAAAAAGGGCATCCCAAATGATGAAGGGATGGCAGCAATTTCCCTATAAATCACATTGCTTGAGATAATTTGAGAAATTAAATATTTTAATAGCCAAAGAACAGTGATAGAGACTTATGAAATCATATGCAGTATGAGAAATGTGAATAGGAAGATACCTTCTTTCATAATGTTAGAATTGTCCATTGAAACTAAGTAGGGAATTCAGGACAGGGGTGGGGAGCTTCTTTATGTACATAAATAAATGGGAGAGACACTGTCAGGAGATGTGGAGATGGCCATTGACCTCTACTTAAGCTTGATGGGGAATTAGATTGATGGGGGCATGATTATGTCCTACATTTGTCACAGGAATCTATTTGGCTACCATGAGTCAGAATGCTGGGCTTTGATTGGCCATAGTTCTATTAATCTATGCAGTTCTTAACTCCATAATACATTCAAAATGCCTGCTCAGAGTTTCCTGGGTATTGCTCAGTTGAGGAATAGTGAGCAAGCCTTCACCTTTCCCATTCAGCTTAGCTCTCTGCAAACCACTTGATTTAGAACAGGGGTGTCAAACTGCCGCCCCGCGGGCCGGTTTCATCATACCGGAGCCACGCCCATCCCATTGCTGGCAATGGCAAAAAAGCTCCGATACGTCGCACAACGTCACGAGTTTGACATGCCTGATTTAGAACCTTCCCCTCTCAAGCCTGCAGCACATATGGAAGTATTTATACATCAAGACTGCCCGCTGACGATAATCAGATTTTTCTCCTCAGTTGATGAGATCAATAGGACTAGGAACTGAGACCACTCCTCATATGCTGAATTGACCATGTTAAATGGTAAAATTTGAACAGGGTTATTGTTGGAATACTGATTAAAATTAGTTAGTTGTTGCAAATTAAACAGCTTCAGTTTTTAAAAAAAATAATAACCACTCCATAAGAGATATATTGTTGCTGAGTTGATAACAAGGGCCAAGTTAGAATTCTCAAGCTTAGCATCATGCAGGGATATCCTGTCATTTCTGCTTGATCCTTCCTGCCAGCAGGTGTAGCAAAAAAACCAA